TGGGTGTTATGCACAAACAATGAATCATGGAACACTACATCAAAAACTAATGATGTAATGTATGGTGATTAACATAACAATAAAAAATTATTTAAAAATAGGAATAGAAAGGAACCGTTATAATTTGGTAAAGTAGCAGTTCTGATAGTGTGGTTCATGAACCCCTGATCCCCAAGACACTTTCTAGAGTTCTGCAAGGTCAAAACCATATTCATAATAATACTAAGACTTCATTTCCCTTTTTTGCAGTATTAACATTTACACTACCAGTTCATTTCTTTTTTTTTTCTTAGAGGGGGAAGGGGCAGAGGGAGGAGAGAGAATTCTCAGCAGGCTCCACACCCAGCTTGAAGCACGACATGGGGCTCGATCTCACAACCCTGAGAGATCATGACCTGAGCCGAAAACGAGAGTCCAATGCTTAACCAACTGAGCCACCCAGATGCCCCTGCACTAACAGTTCAAAAGGAAGGAAAGACTGCTGGCACCTTAGCGCATATCAAGGCACTTGCACCAAACTGCTTCATTGATTCTCCGTGACCAAGAAATCAAAGGAAAGAGGGACACCTGGGTGGTTCAGTTGGTTGCGCATCGGACTCTTGATTTTGGCTCAGGTCATGATCTTATGGGTTCTGAGACTGAGCCCCACATTGGACTCTCTGGTCAGTGGAGAGTCTGCTTGGGATTCTCCCCCTCTGCCTCTCGCCCAACCCACATGTGCATGCTCTCTCTCTCTCTCTCAAATCAACCCTTAAAAAAAAAAAAAGGAAAGGAAGGAATAAAGCCAGTCCCATGTAAGATGTCACCAAACTATTTTATTTTTCATGATCATTCTCAAAACAAAAGCCAGTTTCACTTAAGAAGGTACTTGATGGGAGTGGCATCAGCAAGATGGCAGAACAGGAAGTCCCAGGTTCTCCTTCCTCCCAAAGAAACACCAACTCAACAACAATACACATACCAATTCCCATCATGAGAAATTCAGAAACCAGTTAAGAAGCTCCTGCACACCAGGTGAGCACTAAACCAACTGCATCAAAGCCAGCGGGAAAATTCATGTCACCCTTTCACCACAGTCCTTCCTCCTGGCACAGCACCACACAATTAGGAAAAAAACCTCCCAGCTCCCAAATTCCCCCTGAGGATGAAACAGGAGACTGGACTTTATATCTAACATTCTGACTTGGGATAGGGGCTGCCTGAGGAACTAGTTTCTTTCCTGAACATCTTGGAGCACAGACAGGACCTTGCATACCCCAGGTGCCTGAGGCCTGCTGACAACAACAAAAAGCTAGGTGGCAAGCTGCAGATTCAGAGAATCCATAGTACAGCAAACAGAAACCAATACAGCTCAGTAACCTCTCCCTCAGGGGAGAAAGAATATCCAACATTCCAGCTTTTGGGGGGACTGCCTGAAGGACTAGTTTCTGTTTAGACTGACCTAGGGCAGTGACAGCATCCAGCCTACTCTAGCTGCCTAGGGGCCACCAAGAACAAAAAAGAGATGGGTGGTATGCTGCTACTTCATAGGACCCAGAGTACAACAGATGGGCACCAAGGGAGTACAAGCTTCTGAAAAAAAGAAACTGGAAAATTCCTTTAATGTGGAATCTACACACATAAATCCAAAAGACACATCCAGAGAAAAGGGTTGAGAAGCCCCCAGAATCTACAGCCAGGCTGATTGGTAAAGGTTTTTCCCTGTACTAAGCAGGTCCATAAAGACTGGGAGAGAGGAATTTCTTTCAAATATAATCATACAAACACAAAATTAAAAAGAACATAAAGAGGGGCGCCTGGGTGGCTCAGATGGTTGGACATCTGCCTTTGGCTCAGGTCATGATCCCAGAGTCCTGGGATCGAGCCCCACATTGGGCTCCTGGCTCGGCAGGGAGCCTGCTTCTCCCTCTCCCTCTGCTTCTCCCCTGCTCATGCTCTCTCTCTCTCTCTCTGTCTAAAATGAATAAATAAAATCTTTAAAAAAAAAAATGTAAAGAAACAGGGAAGACGGCCCAATAAGAGGAACAAAATGGGTCTCCAAAAACTGACCCTAAAGAATTAGAGATACATGAGTTACCTGACAAAGAATTTAAAATAACCATCATAAAGATACTCAATGAGCTCAGGAAAACGCAACAATAAAATGAGATTTTCTTTTTTTTTTTTTTAAAGATTTTATTTATTTAATTGACAGAGAGAGAGGGAACACAAGCAGGGGGAGTGGGAGAGGGAGAAGCAGGCTTCCCGCTGAGCAGGGAGCCCGATGCGGGGCTCGATCCCAGGACCCCGGGATCATGACCTGAGCCGAAGGCAGTCGCTTAACCAACTGAGCCACCCAGGTGCCCCTAAAATGAGATTTTCAACAAAAGGACAGAAAATATTTAAAAGGAACCGAACAAATTCTGGAGCTAAAGAATGTAATAACTGGGGCCCCTGGCTGGCTCAGTCAGTAGAC